AACTAAAGTTTCCTCGTAAGTCGTGTCATATTAGATCGACACGTCGTATCATTGTACAATAGCTTCCAGATCGGGTTTACACTCACGAAGCATAGAAATATGAAACACATTAGGCACGTGAGATAACTCAGGTGGTAAGGTGAGTCAATAAGCAACGACACTGACTCGTTGCATGATTTGGAATGATCCAATATATCTTGGCACAATTTCCCCTTTCATACCAAAATGAGTGATTCTTTTGCACGATGAAACTCTTAATAAGACAAAGTCACCTTCTATCAGCATAGCTCTTCATTTAATCAAACTTGGATTATGTAATAGGATTCCTTTAACTTGGTCAGTCCTCTAATCTTATGCCTAGGCTAATTTAACGTCCATTACGGAAGCACGTACAAACGAGCTATCATATGCCTTATTTTAAATATTCTAAGCCTTTCAAACACATCTTACAAGAAGTTGAAATTCTGAAGTTTTAGCTTTTTAATGCATTTTCAAAAGTTTCTAAGCGAAACTTCAACTACGTACATCTCGGCCTATAAAACTCTAAACAGAGTGATTCCAAGTGCTACACCTCACTAATGATGCACACTAAATGGTAAGATTAGTGCCTTAAGTGCAGTGATCCTGGTTCTAGAAGTTGGGGTCTAAGTTCACACTTTTTACGTTATGCCAAGAACGCAATTTTGACCTTTCTAACAGAAATGATCATAAAATATTTCACATAGATCTAAAGGGTATAATTCTAGTTTTTAGATAGAGTGGACACCTAGAGCTTCGAAACGAGTTATTATATGCCAAAATCTGAGATCTCTAAGTACCTCAAAAATAGTTTCTAAGAAATTAAAATTCTATCATTTCCTGGTTTCGATAACTTTTGAGACGTTTTTGGCATGAAACTTCTAATGCGCACAATTCGGGTTACAAAATTCCAAATGACGGGATTCTAACTCCCACATGTCACTAATAACATGTTCTAAATGGTGGTAATGGTGGCCTAGGTGTAGCAATCCTATTTCAAAAAATAAGGGTTATCAGTTCTTTAAAAAGACAACTTTGACGACTGTTACGAGATTAATCATATAATATTCTACACAACCCCGAAAATTACAAAATTAACGCCTAATTGAAGTAGACATCTACAGCTTTCCAAAAAGCTATCATAAGCTTAGTTTCAGATATGTTAATATCTCCAAAAACACGTTATACTAGATTAAAATGTGGCTATTTTTCTGCATAATTCTTAGAAATCAAGCGTAACTTCAAAAATGAAAAATTTGAGCTACTGTTATCCATTTGGGGTGATTCTTGCGGCTATACGAAGCTT